ACTAAACATAAGTCTTGTACTTAAATTAAATGCTACTCATATGGACGGAAGGTACTATTAAAAACATTTTATGTATTAGTAATATCTATATTATATATATATATATATATATATATATTTATTTAGTAAAATTATAAGAAGATTGACTTCGTTATGACGAAAATTGATCGGATGCTTCATTTCAAAATTTGCAATATTTGATGCCATTTTTAACTTGCCATGAGCTATCCGTTAATTAAGTTAGCATAATTTGAGGAATTAAGTTTTAATGAAGTGCAACAAAAATTGTGTTCAATGTAATAGGCGGTACAAGGAAATTATAAGTCAGATTTCTTTTTTATTAAACTACCTTCTACCCTGATATACTGTTCTACAAGTTGATGCACCATTCGAATCATTGTAAGACTATACTGTTGCTTGCTTTTGCTTGCTCTATATATTTAGTTTGCACATATGTGTTTTTATTCTTGTTCACTTTTTTTGATAGAGATCTTGAACTCCTTTAACTGAGAAAATCTGCTGCTCTCTGTTTTTCTTTAATCACGGAATATGATGTTATACTATTGTTTATTGAAATATTTCTTTTATTTCAATAAAGAATACCAAGACTAAATATTATGTTCGCTATGCCCATTTTAACTTGTAGATAAAACCTATATTGTTTTAAATTTAATTAAAATAGCATACTTCTTGATTTCACGTGAAATATCATTTATGAATACCTTTTTTCTTAATTGCCTCAGTCATTTAAAAACTTGCAACACAAACATAGATCACACAATTATGCATGCATACAACATAGCCTCGGGATGCATTTATTTCTAATAAATCTTCAGCATATTGTTTTTATAAATATAATCTCATAATTGGCATTCAGAATCTTATTCTCGTAAATCTAATATCACAATTTTTAATATATTATTCGTACAAATATAGCATTTGAAACTGTAACTAAAAAATTAACATTAATCAGAAAAAGTGAGTTTACTATCATATGCTTTAGAATCGGTTCCTTTTACGATAATTAAAGAATTTTGTGAAATGGAAATGTTTTAGCACATTTTTTATATTAGTACGAATTCCTTGTGCTCCTTTATCCTATGCACATCTTTTTACGTGATATTGATAGGTATAAATAAAGAAGCAGTGTTGTAAAAAAGAAAATATATATTCGGTATAAAATTTGTTTCAACATTCTAAAACATTAATTTGAAATTTGAATTTTTATTGTCCACAGTGATGCATCCACTACCATGAACAGAACTATCTGATGAACAAATATAATCGATCCTAAATCGATTTAATTAGGTTCTACCAAACTAAAAAGCATTCCGTAAAGGCATAAAAAATCAGAGTATATCCAATGACGCTGAGTCGTAAAGTGTTCACATATGTAACTTAAATAAAAACATGATTTTTCATTTGAGTCGCGTTATCTTAAACCTTTCAATCACGCCAAGTCTGCAGAAGATCCACATATATAACTCACGTAAAAAAAAGTGCTTTTTCGTTTCAGTTGCTTTATCTTACACTTTCACTCAAGCCAAATCTGCAGAATATCGACATGTATAACTGAAATAAAAACATGCTTTTTTAATGTCGGTTCACATTATCTTAAACGTCCCTGTATTAATATCTACACAGCTTGGAAAAGAATTAACGAACAGAGAAAAATACGCTATATAACTACCATACATTTTAGATGTTAGACATTCTTTGGAAATTCTTGACAAATGCTTAATGAATTGTTCTGTAATTGCGGCATTATAAATAACATGCTTAAATGAGGAGACGATCGAAATTTTTATGTTATTTTCAACTTGTTTTAGATATTGGTTAAGTTAGAATAATTCGAGGAATAAGTTCAAATGAATTTTAATGCTCACGTGTCATTACGTGAAAATTCGCTTTAAAGTTTTGCCAGAAAACACATATTGCGATGTTCTTCATGAGATGATTTTTGAAAGCTTTATTGTTTCACCATTCTGTGTTGTACAACGATGTTTTGAAACTGCAAAGCTTTTGCGCCGCTTTTTTTTCCTACCACGATATTTTAGAACTACAGAGTTTTCTCATTGTTTTCGCTTTTGCCTTGTGTTTTGGTACGACGAGGTTTTCTTATTTTGTTGTTTTCTGCGTGATGTTTTCGCCTGTAACCAGAGGCCATAGAAATTTGGAAGTGCCTTTGAAACATTCCCCGTACCCTTGGGTTTTTAGATTAACAGACTGATATGCTTATCATAACACCGCAAAAAATAATATATGTAAACACCGCAAAAATAATATATGTAATTCCTTATAATTTCATTCACAGAAGAAAAGAAGAAGCTACATATTTTCGAATAATTGTTTTCTATTACAGTTGTTAACTGAATGTATTTGATTACTAAAAATGAAATAGTAAGAACATTTTCTCTATTGAAACAAAACAGAATTCATATTATGCATTGTTAGGCGTATTATTAGGCGTTATGCATTGTTAGGCGTGCAGGCATTGCATGTTAGGAATTCTAATATGCAATGCCTGCACGCCTAAGATGCTCAAAATGGATGTAAAAAGATGCATTAAAAAGGGATTTGTGTCCTGAAGTGGATAATCACGAATATTTGATAAAGATGTATATTTTTGAGTTGGTGAATTTCATTTTTGCATGGAATGTAAAAATTAATGAAACATTTGTGAGAATATGACGGAATTTAAAAATGAACGGAACCATTGCTTCAGACTTAACGATAAACTGGTAAGAAACTGCGATATTAAAGGGTCTAATATTGTTAAAAGCAATCATAATGGGATTAGATAAACTTGCCCTTTGTCCTTTTCGGCAGCAAAAAAGTTAATGTAACGTATACGTATTAGAAAATTCAAGGAAATGTTAGACAAGGCCATGGCATCTATTGCATGAATAAAAGGAAAAAGGTTCATAGCGCCATGTAACGTGAGAAATAGGAAAAAAACATCATTAAGTTTAAACAGAAAAATACTTCTTCGAAAATTAAATTATTTTATGTAACGGGTATTACCACTATTGAAACAAATAGCATTGGCGGCTATTGACTTTCTTTTATAGCCGTATAGTTTGTGTTTCAGTTCTGAGCCCATTGATAGGAACAAGTCACGAAAAGTGATCAAGAAAGTTACACGTAACGTGCGTATTACCGGCGTTGGGGAAAGCTGGTAATGAAACTCATAGTACCTAATGAAAAAACAAATTGTAGATAAAACACACAGCATCATATACTTAGGGCAAAAAGTAAAGAACAAATCGTGAAAGATAAAAGAATTTCAAAACTTTAGGATTTCCAATTGTTCACTAACTGCAAATAACAAGTATCACAGCAACGAAATTCTAAATGTTTTCAAAATCAGTAAGCATTTTTTAATTGAAAAAAACGTCGAGAATTTAAAATATCATTTCTGATTATCCTCCAACCTTTACTGCTTTTTTTAATTTATAAGACGTATTCATTTAATTTCTGCAAAGGGAAAAAAATTCCTTATCGGTATTTACGCGTTATTGCAAACATCTTAGTAGAAACCACTAAATTTTCAGAATTTGTAAAACTCTGGTAATCATTCTTTAGGCAACCATACTCATAACAAGAAATGTCTCCATTTTCATATGCCTTTTTTTTTTTTTTGATAATCCAAGTTTAAACGATTTTTATAAAAAATTTCAATATTTTTTACCTGAAACAAAATTTTAAATCATGCGCTTATCGAATACCAGCAAAGAGAGAAATTGCGGCAAAATTTCTTCAAGTATGCATAATTTTGCAGAACAACCTCTAAAGAAAACAACGAGGAGATGCGTTTGGTAGACAAATGGTGCTGCCGCGATGTGTTCTATGTCGAGTTTCTACATTTCTCAATTCTTTTTAAGCGAAACCAGATCATTGGTTTAATTGGAGGAGACTAACGAAAATAATTACAGAAAGATTTGGGGAAAAATATGTTTTACTTTTTTGAGTATTGCGTAATATTAACCTGAGGATTCAAATTTGTATTTTAAAGTATGTTTTCTATTTCTAAAGTATGTTTCCTTTCCATATGAGTATAACGTTTGCCGACTTAACAATGTATCGTAATCTCTTTTAATCTTTTTTTTTTTTTTTAAAGGCCTGCAAACCACTAGCTTGCACCTGATAAGTAACTTTTACTTTTTCCTTTGTAAGAAATTCACAAATTGAGCCAAGGTGATTGCGTTAATGCGTGAATACTTTCTTATCAGAACTGTGTCTGATGATTTTCTTTCTCCAACCATATACTCATTTATGTCGTTCTTGCTATTTCTCTTTTTCTTTACTTTATGTATCTTTTCTAGCTATTAATATGCGATTATTTATCAAAACTTTTCCTTAACCTAGTAAAGAAATATGTACCTATCAAAATGCATACAGATATGTTTGACACCTTCCAATGAAATCATTCAATTTACTCTGAATTACTTTTACAGTACTGTTCTATTCCGAGGCCCTGAACTCAAATTCCATATTGCTTTGGTATTAGAAAGTCTGAATCTGAATTTGTCGCAGCTGAAGTATTGACGTCACTTTTGACATAAATCGAGATTTCCCAAAAAAAGTTTTTACGATCGAATTAAAAATTCAAGGAAATATTCCTCCCCAACACATTTAGAGAATTTGGAAGTTAATTTTTGTGTTCAGAAATCTGAAGGAATTTCAAGAAACGTAGGTTAAAAATAAGAAAGAGGAAAAGCTCACATAAATGAAAGTTAAGAAACAATTTAAGGTATTTCATATTTTTTTCTAATGCTACTATATTTTTAGCAAAATGGCTTGCAAAGAATTGGTTTCGTAGAATTCTTTTATGGTAGGCCTCTTTTGAGGAATTTTGTATTCAGATGGGTTGAGATTCCGAAAATCTATAAATATTGAATGTCCTCAAATTTTATTTTTCAGAGCAATATGTTTACGTTTTTAAAAGAAACAAGCTACACATATCTAAATTTTTTATTTTCTGTATTCAGGATACTTACGCTTCGAGCGGAATTATAAGTAAATTTCTCTAGCGAAATCCTTTTCAGTACTTGCATCATAAAGTGTAAAACATCCTCTGAAGGAAGATCTAAAATACTAAATAAGAAATTACAGTTGAATAACGTTGAATAAGAAATTGAGTTTGAATAAAGTTTGTAGTTGAAAGTTTTTATTTTTAGGAGTTTTTGACTTTTTTGTAAATGAAAAATTATAAATTATGCTAAATTTTTAAGGTAGGAATTGTTAAAAGAAATATGAAAAAGTTAAGAAAAGTAGTTAGTTTAAATGATTAACAGTTACAGATTAAAACAGATTGATAAGGTATGGATATAAAGAAATCAGAAAAAGCATTAAATAAAAAATCAATACGACTTTTATTTTTACGTCAAAATAAAAGTAAAAAACATACCTAAAAATTTTCGATTTGTTTTTTGTTAGCTTCTTGGAGACCTAAAAATAGTCGTTCATTTTTAGTAAAGCATAATTTAAAGTAGCATAATATAATTTTATGCATTAATATTTTGATTAAAATATTTTCCTTGCAGCAGTTTAATAACACGTAATTGTAAGAGAGAAAATTACAGGTTCTTACCTACCTGAAAATAAGTAAAATATAGTAAATTTTGAAGTCATTCACCGTGGCATAATATATTTATGTAAAGGATGGTCTATCGGGGGCACAATATATTCATCCACGATTTTTTGTATGTTTCTTTTAGCAACCTCAGTTTTTTTACCTATGTTATCTACACTTGCTAAGCTTAATGGCTCGCGACTGGACCGTCCTTTGTTCAGAAATGAATTTGGTCAATATTAAACTTTAAATGGAATACAATACTGTGACACATTATCGAACTTTTTGTAAGATCATTCGGACAATTAAGACCTCGAAGAATGGGATTTCAACAGGATGGTGCTACATGCCATACAAGAAGAGAAACTATCAGCTTGTTAAGACAATATTTTTCTGTCTTTCAGAAATGCTCATATTCATTAGCTGCCTAGATCTTGCAACTTGACATCATATGGGGTTTTTCCTCTGGGTTTTGTAGAGTCCAAACCACAAGCAATACTGAAATTGAAAGCTGAAATCCAAATCGTGATTGCTAAAATTGAACCATCTGATTTGGAAAACCTTTTTGAAAATTTGAACGAAAGGGTCAAAGTATGCCAGCTCAGCCACAGAGCGTATTTAGCTGACATCGTATTCTGCAATTAATCTCACCATGTCTATTTTATAATTCAATAATAATTTTCAAGTTAAGCATAATTTATTGTGTTATAAAATATTTATCCCGCCTTCTTAGCATGCCTTCGGGGTGTAATGGTAAGCACACTCGGTGCGTATTCGAGAGGTGCGAGGTTCGAGTCCCGGCGAGGGCATTGCTCATTTTTCGCCTTCTGATGCTTTAAAAAAAAAAAAAAAAAAAAAAAAAAAAACCTAATGTCTCTACAGTGGTGCGCGAACTAAAAAAGGTGGTGGATGATGAATCTCCACTACCAAAATTCGGCGATTAGGTTCCCTAATCCCCAGTCGCTCTTTAAAAGGGACAGTATATAAGGTATTTCTCCCGCCGTCTTAGCATGCCTTTGTGGTGTACATTCGGCGCGTATTCGACAGGTCCGTGGTTCGAGTCCTGGAGAGGGCATTGCTCTTGCTCATTTTTCATATCTCTTGCTTCGAAATAACCTAGTGTCTCTACAGTGTTTCAATTTAAAATTAAATTCGCGTACCCAATGGGCAACCTATATTTGTGAAATATCATTGTTCCTTCCATTAATACTATTATCTGCAATATTAAAATAAAGGCGCATGTTTATGCTATGCTTAAGATAATAGACTAGCTATTAATAAATTTTCTTTATTAAAAATATATGATAATTTGGAAGGAATTTTCTTTTCAGCTGAAATATTGTCAAAATAGCTGTATATATTGCCGGCGTCGTCTCAAAATGATAAATTTATGAAAGAGTTATTCGAAGAAAAATACATTTTAAGGCTATAGCAAATGCTTGCTTTTGAGAAAAATCAAATTATGTCTTGTGCACATTAAATATCATATATTCGTATCCTGTAATAAGCTTCTTTCTTTTTAATATAGTCTCAAATTCGTCTTGATGCACTACATATTAAAATTATCTTCTTTGACAACTTTCATGTCATAGAATAGGATTCTTTCTCTAACAGTCAAGTGTAAAGTATTGAAAGATTACATAGAAAATGTATGAAAATAAAAATTGTTGTATTACTACTTCTTTCAAATTCGTTAAGTAAATTAAAACAATAAAACGATTCTGTGCTAGCTACATATTATACGACGTTAGAAACATCTTTTAGTGATTACAATAGCGTTGTATGTATTTTAATTCATATTAATTAGACATATTATTAAAAGTTCTTAACTATTAAAATTTGTTTATTGTACTTAAAGTAATAAGTTAGTTAAGCAATTGAATGTTGAATGACAGATAAAACCATCTCATGTTTTGTCGAAAGGTTGTAAATGCTCTGAGAAGGAGTCAAGCGCGAGCTCTGGGAAGAAAACATTTTGTTTCACGCAGGGCAATATTTAAGTGACAGGATGATGAGGCGTAACGTAATTTAAAGGTTCAAAATCTTCTAAGGAATTCACTAAAGACTTCCAAAAGAGAAATAAATAAATAAAGGCAAATAAAGACTAAAGACTGTAGAGACATTAAGTTCTTTCGATGCTGAGAGAGGTGAAAAGTTACCAGTGCTCTCGTCCAAACCACAGACTTCTCGAATACACGTTGAGCGTGCTGACCAGTACATCACGAAGGCATGCTAAGAAGGTGGAAGAAATACCTTATATACTCCCCCTTTAAAGGGCGACTGGGGTTTAGGGGACCCAATCGCCAAATCCTCTTGGTAAAGAATCATCATCCACCACCATTTTCAGTTTGGGTGCCACTGTAAGAACATTAAGCTATTTCGAAACAGGAAGAAGTAAAAAATGAGCACTGCTCTCGCCGGGACTCGAAACACGGACTTCTCGAATACGCGCCGACCGTGCTGACCACTACACCATGAAGGCATGCTAAAAGGCAGGAGAAATACTTATATATTGCTTATAAGACAAATAAATAAATAACACATATTCTTGGTTTCAAAGACCCACTGGCGATATTCTTATTTCCGTAACAATAAAATATTACAAAATGTTTTTGTAAATTATGTATGTAAAGCATAATATTACAGAACTCCTCTTTTCTGTAATATTATGCTACAATTGCTTAGCAATGAGAACAATAAAATGCTTATAAATTCATATTTTAATGTTTTTTATATGACACGTGTATGCAGAATCAATATCTTTCATTTAATAAAACACAAGCATGCATTTTCTTGCATTCGTGAAAATTATAGTATTTCCTGTACGTTTAGTTAAAACATCTAGAAATAATTTCAGCATTCGAGCCACACATAACGTAAAGTATTTTTTTAAACCGACAGCAACACAAAATTTCAGAATGCGATTTCTTTGCCTAATATGAAATTAATTATTATAAGTTAATTTCTGACATCAGTACTAAAATGTGCGGAAGCACTATTATGCCGAAAGGAACTTCTACTTAGAATAGAGCAAGGACGTTGGCGAACTGTTCCGGCAATGCCTTGTGCAAGAAGTGGAGTCCATGCTCCCGTTCGAGCGACATGTGGATTGGATGTGCAATACAATGAAATATTTGTAAATTATGTACGAAACCAGCTCATGCACTGATCGAAACTCTTCACTGGTAGGCACGTGGTCTTGTTGCAAGCGGAGTTTCGTGTGACCAAACATGCGCTTGTGACTATTAAAGAGTAATTCAAGTGTACATATGTTTTTGCCTTGAATATCAGTACACGGAGAAGTCCATCTATAATGCAATCTATTGTAGTTACCAATGGGCAAACTCTGTATGAAGATGAGAGTCTTCAACTGTCAATGCCTGCCCTCATTGTACACATTGTGAGTAGTGTGGGTGCATGCCTTTATCGTATAAAATCTCCCATAAAAGTGAATACCTCAGACCCAGATCACGCGAAATATCTCTCGTGCTATTGGAAGGATTAAGCTCAAATTCAGGTATAACAGTTTCTTTCACTCCTGGAGTTGTGGTACTTCTAGTCCGACTCAGATCATATTACTTAGCAATTTCGCAGAGTTGGTGGTACAGCTCAAACATTTGTTCATTTAACAGTTTTTTCGTCGGTAATCGATTCCTGTACAGCCTCTGAGCCTTTGTTCGCTGCTCCCATGCATCAGATGAACATCTTCAAGCTCTGACTTTGTAAAGCGATACATGCTGTTGAACATTCCAGCGGGGAAGTGTCACCTTTACTCCCAGATGTTCAATAAGTGCCGTTAACCACCGCCACCTAGTAGCACTTAAAGCATCATTTCCGACTACATTATTTTAGTTCCTTCTACTAATCTTTAAAATTATGCCAGATATTTTTCGAGCATTCTGCAAAAATAAGAGTGCTAATTAAGTTAACAATTACTTTATAATAAAAAAAAACTCGTTCATTTAGGAAGCATGCAGATTTAATGCTTGAACGTACGTTTTTGATCCCATTTAAATTTTTACTGGCGATTTTTTTATGCATGTGTATGAGTCTACATATAAATCAACTATCAGTACAAGCTGTCAATGCTCCGGCACTAGTCGTTAGATCCTTCGGACTCGTGATTTTCATCGCTTCTGCTCTATCTGCGGATTTCGTCTCAGCGAAGCCTTTCTTTTCATCGCTCTTGCTCCAGCCGCAAACCGCCTCTGCGGAGTCCTGATTATTTGCTCTTTTCACTTCCTCGGAGCTGTACCTTTGAGTTGCATTTTGATTGTGTCATAGTATAGCTATGTATATAAGTATTACCTTTTTATACAATATTACTGTAATATTAAAGTAAAATAATAAATTACTTTTTTATTTATTTGCTTATTTTACCAACATCTTATAATCAAGAGCTATGAATTTCTCTTTCATCTACCTTGGAATAAGTACATATTTATAACATTAATTTTCCTATCTAATGTACTTTTTCAGGGTTGCAGAACAAAGTGTGGACCCTACCGAATACAAAACCTATCGTTTTTTCAAATAAAAAAAAAAAAAAAAAAAAAAAACAAAAAAAAAAAAAAAAAAAAAAAAAAAAAAAAAAAAAAAAAAAAAAAAAAAAAAAAAAAAAAAACAAAAAAAAAAAAAAAAAAAAAAAAAAAAAAAAAAAAAAAAAAAAAAAAAAAAAAAAAAAAAAAAAAAAAAAAAAAAAAACGGAAATGCTAATATTGTCAACAGACAGTTTCCTCTTGTTTGAGATCCGCCTTCAATCCAAAAATTTGCTTTTACAATGTGCTTTGTCGTAGCAACAAAATATCAGTTATAGTAATAAAATAATGTAATTTTTAATAAAAGTGAATTTAATTTTAATTATATTTAAAGTTTT